CCATGAAAATCCATCTAAAAGTTTGACACTCTAATAATATGATCTCCTCCTATAATTGTAACATCCTCAATACCGGGTTAGTGACCAAATTGTAATATTTCAGGATTTGGTTATTTAAAATGGAATAGTTGAAAAGTTCAATGATTTATTTGGAAATATTACCTTAAAGATGCTAGTAATTATAAAAGGTATTAAAGAGTAAAAGGGTCATTTGACCAAGAAATGAATTAAAAAATGGGATATGGTAAGGATATATACACGTGGGAAATGAGAGATTTCTCCAGAGTTTTCTTCTTTCTTATTTCTTCTTCTTCTTCTTCATAAGTGAAAGAGAGCCAAGCAAAGGTAAGCTTTCTGATCTGTTAATTATTTGTTAATTTAAAGTTTGGGTTTTGATCGTTAGATGATAACTAAGCTTAAGGAAAACTTAAGTTATCTTAAAATCAAAAAGATAAAAGAGTTAGGGGAGATTAAAAATTTGGAGTTCTTGAATGCAATTTTGATATAGAGTTGATAATTAGAATTGGAAGTTGGATTTGACTTGTCATCAATCTAGTTAAGACATATGAAGTGTTAGAAGTGGAATTAAATCATGTTGCAAAGTTGGTATAATTCTTGAATCTCATAAGAAGGATAGGATTTTGGGGTTTAAGATGAAATAAATGAGTATAGATTAGTTTAAATAGGTGTATAAGAGTTAAGAATAGAAAAAGGATGAAATATGAAGAGTTGAGAGAATAAAGAAGGGATTTTCATGCTCAAAGTATCATTTCTGGGTTGTGTGCATTGATGCATCTTCAATGTGCATCGATGCACTCTCAAATAAATGAACATCGAATGCAATTAGTGCATCGATGCATAAGGAGTGCATCGATGCACCTGCATAAAATGCAAACATATTTATGCACCGATGCATGGATAGAGCATCGATGCACCTGTCCAGGGATGCATCGATACATGGTGTAGTGCATCGATGCATGCCTTCATTAAAATTTGAAAATGGCTTTCTTCTAGCCTATGAAGTGATAGCTTAGAATATATCAATTAGTATATATTGATATGTATCAATGTGTTATTATTATGTAGATATAGAATGAAAGCTTGTTCCGGAATAATTGAAGAATTAGAATCAAATCAAAGCAAGCAAGGCTAAGGTGAGTGCAATTTCGTTGTACTTATGTTATAGAATAAGCATTGGCTTGCGATGAGCCAGTGACGGAGTTACTATGGTAAAAAGTAACTCGTATAATGTTATTTGATTTGTGAATTCTATGTATGCATGAGTATATGTAACATGATGTATATGATTCATATGATATGTGATACTGAACTACATGAATATATGAGAATATTATATCAGTGGTGTGATAGATTTGACATGTTATTTTATGTGATACGTGTTTACCTGATCACAAGACATGAGTTATATGAAAGAGAAAGCATATGTGATACGTGAAAATGAATCATATGTTTATATGAAAAGTGACATGAATTACAAGAAAGTAAACTATGTGACTATATGCACATGTGATATGTGACAGAAGAAATGAAAGTGTATAAGTGAAAATGCCCAGTTATGTGTATTGAGAGCTAGAGGTATAGTTGGCATGCCAAGAGTCGAGGGTTTACCTATGTTCTAAGGAACATATGGACAATTTACCTAGGTTTTTCGGGACCTATGGACAGTTACCGAGGATCTTTATGACCTCTGGATAGTTACCGAGGATCTTTATGACCTTTGGATAGGTACTTCGGGATATTTATACGAGCTGTAGTGACAGCATAGTGGTGCATAACCTCAATAGACTCAAGTATCTATAGTTCTCACATGTGTACCATGGGCTAATGAAGAGATAATATTAATAAACTGGATATGATGATATGTTTGTTTCATTATGAAATGTTATGTGTGATATATGATGGTACAAATGGTAATTATAAGATTATATGATAAAAGGAATCAATAATAGTGATAAGAATGAAGATGATGATATAATTGCTTATGTGTATTTGATTTATGATAGGATATATGTTTTACATGACATGATATATATATGTTATAAGGTATATATGAATGAGTATAATTGATTGACATAATGATATAATAACAAATCTATAAGATATATGATATGGATATAAAAGATCATAGGAATAGGAGATAAGAGATATGAATGATAATGACATATATGTATGTATGTACTTGTATATGTAAAAGTATGTGAGTTGTGTGAAATGATGGTAGTAATTGTTTATGTATGATTACTAGTTAAAGTTACATTATATGTTTATTGTCTCACTAAGTCTGTGACTTAACGTGTAAGTGATTTACACGTATGTACCATGAATCGGGAAGAACAGCAGCACTACTAGAAGATCAGATTAGAAGTAACTGTTAAAGTATGTATTTTGATGGTGTATGGTGTGTTGGCAACTTGGCATGTAAGAAAAGTGTTAGTTACAAATGCTCTGATCAGTTTTGTCTTGTTTTGGTTAACTCGTGTACAATAACAATGTTATTTAAAAAAATCTTTAAATTTCCTTGGTTTTTGTTAAAAGTTAAAGTTTGAAAAATCAATATGACACCTCAGACTTGTATCCGAGTCGGATACGGGTTGAGGGTGTTACAATAATCGTTCGGTGAAACTAGTTTTGAGGTATGTTGTTCGTTTTCTCGAAAGAATGCTTCTCATTGTTCAAATTTTTGAACAAATACTCAAAACCCCTAAATCCGAGAAAGCTCTCAAATCTAAAAAAATGATGAATTTTATTATTATTTAATTTCATGAATTTTAAAGAAAAAATCTAAAACAAAAAATGATCTAGAACAATGAGATAAATTCATCGATGTCTAAAGTGATGGAAAAAAAAACCTAATTTCGTTTAAAAAAGTGATAAAGTGAAATAAAAAAAACCAACTTATTTAATTTCACGAGTTTAATCAATGCTATATATATAGTTTTTTCATTAAATATATTAGATATAATTTTTTTTATAGAAACCACTAATTTTAGTAGAAAATATTAAAATTACAATGAATGTTTATAACCACACCCATAAATTAAACACATAATAGGGACATTTTTCTATAATCAATAACACAAGAAATTAGACACTTAAGATTACACAATGACCATATGAGGGCCATACAAGGAAAATGTTAAAAAACTAACCAAATAAACTCGAACAAAGGGTAGATACGAATAGATTTGACTTCATTGACAAACTAATCATAAAAATGGATCAAGCTATTAAAAGACTACCGATAAATCATAAATCCAAGTCGATGGGAAAAAACTATCAACGAACGTAAACGGCGTATTAAAATCCAATTCGAGGGTCTAAAGTAGGAAAGATCATCATGATAATAAATAAACACCATTTTAATCAATCGTAGTGATGTCAAATCTAACCCCAAGAAAAAGCATAAACGAAAAATTAAAAACAATAAAAAAACTCAAGAAGGTATTGATATAATTTTTTTTTTATTAATTTAGGGTGATTATAAGGTAGTATCTATTTTAAAGATTTTTAATAGTTTGACGATGAAAACTCAACACCTTTACAGTATCTGATGCTCGAACTTGGGATCTCTAGGGATAACAATTATCCTTTTAATCATTGAGGTAACTTGGTTCGCACAAGAAGACACGATATAACTTAATATAAAAAGTGAGGAAGGCATGATAAAAATAAACTCTATATATCTTCAATTATTTGATCATGTCCATAATTAAGAATACAATGTATGTATAAACAGGCCGCTCCTTTTATTTCAATTCTATCAATTTATTTGTTGATGAACTTACTTCTCACCTGCCAAGAACAACCCACTTGTGTGTGTGTTTTCCGGTTCCTAATTTTTGACATCTTATACATATGGATTGGAAATGCTATCATTTTCCAAGTTTTTTTTACTATGTATACCATTCAATCTAGTAGCAGTTTTATAGCTAGCTAGGGGCATACTTTAGGGTAAATATAAAATGATCGTAAAAGTTTAAACGTTAAATAATTGATTTAAAATTAAAATGCGAGGATTAAGATTTAATTTATTTAATATATATATATATATATATATATATATCAAAGTAATCCAGGATTGAGATTAAAATAGGAGTAACAAATTGTTTGAAGTTGGATTTCATTACCCAGTATCTTGAAACAGTGGTTTAATTTGGTGCAACTATAATTATTATAATTATAAGAACAGTGTCAAAGTGATCCTTGTGTAGCCATAGCCTCCATTATTAGCCCTTCCTGTGCTTCTTTATCCCCCACCTTTCCTTACCTTTTCTCGCTTTGTTCATTTGCAGGCCTCTCTTTCTTGCAACTAGGGTTTCTATGGATTCACAGTGACAAACAAATCAAAAGGACTGGATATCTTGAAAGAACATAATTATAAAACAGGTAACCTCAACTACACACACCCTATTTAACTAATGCTTTAACATACATATTCAGATTCTTCTTCTGGTTTTTCACCCTTTTTGGCTCATTTGAAGATGATCGTGTATGCTTGTATCATGCTTATTATAAGGTCCGATCAAGCTATTTCCTACAAGGAATCTTAAACCAAGTTTATATGTATGTATTTGTGTGTATGTTTTACATTAAAAAGAAAAAGAAAAAGATCTACCATTTTGGAAACTTAGATCTTTGGGATGATAGGGTTGGTTTCATTTTACGCAACATGTTTGATCAAATCCAAGGAGGAGTCATAGAATCTGTGCATGTTGATGTAATGATTCGTGTTTTTTGTTTTCTTTTGGGGTTATGATTTTAAGATGAAAATGTTTCTGACAGTATTGGTATTTAAATTCAAGAAAAGCTGCTTGGCAGGTGAGAAAATTTGCAGAGATCCAGAAAGCGTTCTCCCTAAGCAATTTCTTGTTCTTAACTGACTTGTAAAAATGAGAGGATGAGCCCACAATGGACATAATCTAATAAAATTAAGATAAAAAAAACATACAAATTATAATGCTTTTTATCCATGCAAATGATTCTTATTATATGCAGAAAAAAGAGAGAAAAATGGCTTCTTCGAGCTCTTCAAACTTCCCATGTGCAGCCTGCAAGTTCTTGAGGAGAAAATGCATGGCGGATTGCACTTTTGCACCATATTTCCCACCCGAAGAACCCCAGAAATTCTTCAACGTTCACAAAATATTCGGGGCAAGCAACGTTAGCAAGCTGATCAACGAAGTAGCACCGCATCAAAGACAAGACACGGTGAACTCGCTCGCGTACGAAGCCGAGGCGAGGTTAAAAGATCCAGTTTACGGCTGCGTCGGAGCCATCTCGGTTCTCCAGAGACAGGTGATGAGGCTGCAAAGGGAGTTGGATGCCATTCGTGCTGATTTAATCCGATACTCCGCCGCCTGCGGTGAGATGCAGCCACCAACAACAGTGGGGACTTGTTTTGATCATAATGCAGGTAATTCTTACTGTCCTGATTCTCTGTGGAATGAGCCTTATGGAGACAATGGGGGATCATATGGTGGAAGCCTGTGATATGGATGAAGCAGCATGTTGTAATTAAATAAGCAAAAAACAAAATTTATTGGTGGGAACTGGCAAGTCCCCATTTGGATTCGATTTAGGGTTTTCTAGTTATGGAGTTCGATAAAAGTCCCATGTGTGTGATATCCTGATGACATGTTGCCATTAAACATTGATGAAACTTTGTGAAAACTATCTCCATATACATATCATGTTATACTCTTCATGTTTTACTATATATATATATCATAGTGCAATACTTTTGCCGTATTAGTTGTTGCCATTAAATCTGATAAGGGTAATGATTTCATATTGAGTAGTCCATTGTTGAAGCTACCAACCTTCCATAGTTTATACGTAACCTCAACCCACCATGGCCAAACCTAAACCCTCAGAGGCCACCTGCTGCTACATAAAAATCATACTATATTGTTTATGTATTTGTATATTCGTGCGTTCAGTATATATATATTATAAGGTAAAGAGGTGGTTGATTATATATTGGTATTTAATTTTAATTAACTGTTAAGAGATGCAATCATTTTGATTCTCCAACACATCATGTTTGCATTATTACCAGCTTCCATACTTTTTCTGGAATATAATTTAGTCCCTCAAATCTACTTTTAGAATTTTGCTTTTTTTCTTTCCTTATATATATAAAAATATGTAAAATAAAGAATATTATCCAATGCACTTGATATTATTAAAATCAACAGTTTTTCAAATAATTAACTCATAATCTGAAGGGTAAAGTACACAAATGGTCCTCCAACAACATAATACTATTTTATTGAGTCCACGATTTTTAAAAGTTATAAAATGTTTCCTAATTGTTTTATGTATCTTTTAAAAATGATACTAATAATAAAAAAATAATCACTCTTACTAATAATGAATATTTTGATTAATCGGGTAAGTACAAAGTAGTATCTATTAAAAGATAATTCTCAACAATTTAACATTGAACGCTCATACCCTGACATCAATGGTGCTCGAATTTGAGACCTTAAGGAATATCAATAATTATTTTACCATCAAAGTCAATCGGTTCGTGCTGATTGATAATTTTCTAAAATTTGTTCATATTTATTTTTTTAAAATGACGTGCAATTATAATTAAAAAAGTATTTATATATTTTTCATTTAAATTAAATGTACTTGAATATATTAGTGAAAATATAATTAAATATGTTTGTGAAAAAATAAATAATCGAAGATGAAGTACAAAAATATCCACATAAATTTTTTAATTAATATCGATCTCAAATCGCATAGCTGTTTTCGCTTACTATAGAAAGAGTAAACTATATTATTGATCATCAAACTATTACTTCTCTCCTATTTTAGTTATATCATTTTCTTTTCTACAAATTTGACCACTAACATTGTGCTTTTCTATCCCTGAATGTTAAGTTTTAATGAAGATAATAGGGGTAAATGATTTGAACTTGAACGAATAAGATTGAGTTTGTATTCAGTTTGTTTAATTTATTTGCTTATTTTTATCTTTTTATTTGCAAGTCAAAGAAAAATGATAAAATTAAATAATTAGTCTTTAGATTTCTTAGGCTTGTCTTGTGTTTAGTTTAGTCTCTATCTTTACCAATATTTAAAATATAAAAGGTAAAAATAAAAAAGAGAGTGGGGTAAACGAGCTTATAAACGAGTTTGTTCGTAAACATAAATGAATTGAATACGCATTTGTTCGTTTATTAAATGAACATAAAAAATTTGTTCATACTTATATATTTAAGTGATTAAACGAACATTATATAAATGATTCACAAATCAATTTCCGAACACTCTAATCATTTATACCCATACAGAGACGGTGATGTATCGGAAAGGCATGATGCCGGATTTGGTTTCGTATACTTTGTTGATGCCAGATTCAGTTGTTCCATAGAAAGGTTCATTGAGGAATGGATCCGGACATATAATAATCTTATTTCTGGTTATGGCGAGGGGAGGATGCATGAGGTGATAGGGAACAGGATTTCGCCGGATGGTTTTACTTGTGGAAGGATATGTAAAACAGGGAAGGTTGGTTTCAGCTTTGAATTTGGTTGTAGAGCTAAGGAGATTAAAGATTTCCATATCTTCAGATATTTCTGGCTTTTTTATGGTTTCTTCATGCCGTAAAGCTCGACCGTTTGCCGCTAAGAGTCTCCGGGAAAGAATCTCTCAAGATGGCTATTTACCTAAACCGGATATCTATAACAAATGGATCGAGTCATTCTGCAGATTCAATAGTGTGAGTGATGCACCAAAAGAATAAAGGTCAATCCGGTCGCACTAAAGCTCTTATATGCTCATCGTGTAGAATTAGTAAAACCCACGAAGCTGAATCCTTGAAGGAAGAATGCTTAAGTCCGATATCTGAGAACAAATGTCATTATTGTGTACTTTAATAGTCAGTGGTTTCATTCTAGTGTAAAATACGCAAATAATCCTTCTGACTATAGAATAAAATAAATGCTTAAATCCGAAATCCTTCCCAATCTCATAATATGCAGGGCACTGATACGATGCTACTGCAAGCAATCGGATATCGACAAAGCGGTGTCATTCTTGAGCTTCTTTGCCAAGGAATTCCAGATTATCAATACGGAAAACTACATATTTTCTTGTGAGAACATTTACAGAGTGGTGATATGGATAAGTTAATGGGGCTTCAGTGTAGAATGATGAAACTCGGGTTTGCACCTAATAGCTTGACATGCAAAGTATGTAATTTATGGTTTATTGAAAGCTAGGAGATTGAATAATCATAAGTTGATTGGTTCTCAACCTCAATAATCAGTCGGTTGCTTATAAATTTTGTCTGTACTAATCTCATTTCATTTTGCAACTTTTTTTTTACCTTTCCAAGAAAGATACGTTGAACCCAAAACTTAATTCCATTGGTTCGTGCAGATTTACTTTTAGGGTTTATAGTTTAAACTTATAGTCCTTTGAGTCCTAAAAATTAATCTCAAAAGACCACACAATTTGCCACTCAAGTGAACTGTTTAACCTTGATGTGCCAATAACTTCGAACAAAATGGATGTTTTACCTCTGTACAAATCCAAAACAACCCCCCCCCCCCCCCCCATCTTCAGCATTCCTTGATTTTAGGTGAGTCTTTCACACTAGATGTTGGAGATGGACTATGCCCTGAAACTTTAGCCAAATCCGTATGCTCGGAAAAACTCTTTACATTGGAATTCTCGGATTCCCTGCTGTAAGAAGCAACTTCCTGGGAGATGCTGCATGCAAAGTTTTCTTCTGTCTGGTCATTGTCAGCTTCTAAAGTCCCCATTGGTGCAGAAGATGGGGCTTCTTTGCTGCTAGGATCATTGCTCGAATTGCTAGATCAGCCATGAAAACTGCAAATTGTTGCCTTGCCAGCATTTACCATTTACAAATGCCCTTTCTGCTGAGAGGCGTGTGCTGTAAGTTATACGAGCTGAGCAATTCCTCAATGTCTCCGATACCACACCATCATCATCATTGTCCATATCTTCCAGCTCCACAGAGAAAAGATCACCATATTGTGAGAAGTTTTCCTTCAAAACATCAACCTAGTAATTGACAAAATAGATTTCAGTTGCCTTTCATTGACCACAAAGGACATTCAAAGCCAATTGTGTTTTATGCCATTAAGTGAAGACCTCATCATTACAAATAACTAGACATCTAAGAATTTATGTTGTTACCACACTTCATCTTTCTTGAAGCATTCATGTCTAACACCAATATCTGACACATATCCAAAAATGGTATAGGAATATGATCCCCCTAGGAAGTCTAGAATACATTAAAATCTTTGGAAAGTGAATATATTCGTATTAGACACATAATAGTGTTTACATCTAAGTCCAATCAACATAGCTAAGAAGGCCCATTGTTTGGCCAATGTACTTATTGCATCTTTCCACTTTCAAGATGTAGTAGAAGATGAAGTGGGAAAACGCATCATCGCAAAAGATGGAGCTAATACAATTTCTCAAATGAAGAAAATGAGAAAGCAACTCACATGTGCAAAATCAGATGGCAATGGTGAAATAACTCTAAAAGCAGTAGGCCTGTTATCCAATTTGTATTTTCTCATCGGGAATGGATGCGCTACTGGTGCTGATAGACAAGGCTGCTGCTTTGATTTAAGACTGGGGGAAAGAACATTCTCCGTTGACATATCCTTGTCCATCATGCCCATTGAGCATGGTGTTGCAGCAGAAGCATCAGGTTCAGAGGAGGATCTTAGAGTTGAAGCTTCGGCAGGATCAGCAGCAATGCCGACCTTTTGCCGCAATGCCCACCTTTTGCCTCTTGGCAGCTTGGTTTGTATCACCTTTGACCCCACCAGACTGCAAAGAGGTTGAAAAAGACAAATGTTAAACCTGCCTTAATATGGGATACTATCACTTGTATTTTAAAAAGGCATGCATGTTTGACACCGCACAATAGTGAAGTTTTTCCCATCACTTAGCTACCACATTCTAATCAATTTCAAAACTACTATGAGAACATGCAACTTCTGAACCTGATTTCTATGCATAACAATTCTTAAGACGTAAATTACTCAGATTGGATATTTAAGAACATAGTATATAAAAGTAAACTAAGTTCCCATTACTTGTTTCTCAAGTTTGTCCAACTGGTGCTGAAAGTCATTCCGCTTCTGTTCCAGCATTTCCTGCTTCTTGCGTAGTTCCTCTTTCATCTTCTCCAAAGTCTCCAATTTTTTCCATGGCGGAGTTGGAACCATGGGACCATTCATGCTATGAGGCTTGGGGGAATTCAGAGAAGGCGCATCAATACCATGGATAACATTGCTCTTCTGAAGAGCAGGTAGAAGATTATCTTTTCCTCTATTAGCAGCTGGCTGAGCCGGAATAACAGAAGCCGTTACACCACGTGGAGTTACCGATGCACCACTTCCACTGTTAATTCCACCATGAGGAATGTTATCTCGATTGGCCCACCACAGCTTAATAAAACGGTTACCCATTACAGCATCAGGTGCCTTCAGAGCAGCTTCTGCCTCCTCCCTCCTTGAAAACTGTACAAAGGCATGTTCACTATTTGATGGAATATGAATGTCAATAACCGTTCCAAACTTAAGAAAATGAGAAAGAAGAGCCTCTCTTT